TCACATGTGCTCATTAACCTAGCTTCACTGTAGCAGGCAGGGGCTCACCCAGGTCCACTCACCTGACAGCCATTGCAACTCTGCAAGGGACTGCAAGAGGAGATAGACTTCATGGCAAGGTACCGATGACAGTAAGACAGAGTTAGGGGCTAAGTTGGGGTTATGAAATGAATTAAAAAAATTGGCTAGTAAGACCATCTTCATCCCACATAACTAATATAAAATCAGTGTTACAATGGGGTCACCGTTTAATCTACCTCCTTTAATTTTTTTTTTTAATTGCTATGTTTCAATAGGTCGCCAAAATAAAAGATACAAACAAAAAAAAAAAAAAAGGGAGAAAAGATGACTTACTTAAGACACGTTTCCTCTTTCGCGTAGTGCCACGCTGGGTTTGTCTGTCGCTTTTACCTTGCAACCTTCTCAGGCGACCATCGGTTTCTCTGAGCCGGTATTTCTCTGATGAGGTAGATTCACATGGCCCTTTCTTCTGCAGTAGAAATGCTCCCTCCCCTTTTCTGAAAGAAGCAGAACTTAAAATGCACATGCATGCAAAAAAACGATCGAAAACTTTGCACCAGTGACAAAGATATTGCAATAAATAATGTATGCCATAACCAGATCGCTGCACACATTAGAATCCCCATTTTATGGCTGAAAATAATACATTTCCTGAAAGTAGAGACACTGTGGAATACAATGGCGGCAGCTACAAATTTGTATGTTACACGATTAGTGTGACCTTCTAAAACCACAAATGTGTCAGTCAAAAAGATTTTAGTGCACAAAAAACACAATATAATGCTCAAGTTTGTATTTTGTTAAAATATAAAAAAATAAGGTTGTGCTGAATAGATAGGTACAGTACCCCAAATTGTCCATAGGCGACGCTTACTGAAACTGATGGCCTGTACATTGAATGTGTATATTGGCCTTAGAATTATTGCTCCCACTCCAAGTACATGGTAATAGACAAAACGTGTGGCCCAATTGTCGTTTTTAAACATTTTGTACGCCAATCTATTTATTTGCATTAGTCTGCAGGGGCCTTTACATTTTTTTTTTGTAACTATTTAAAATAAAACATTTTTTTTTACCTCAACTTAATTGCCATCACATAGGGGGCTCACAGATTACCAGACCCTGGAAATGATTAGGTGGCTTTTACAGCCGCCACAAAACTTTCCAGTGTAAAGCCGCCAGTCTCCCGGCAGCTATACTGTTTATAGGGGCCAGCTACTGACGGATGGCAGATGTGGGTGGCAGCGAAAGGGTTAAAGGGCAGTAGTGGTGGGTTTATATGTACTGTATATAGTAAAATTCTCAACTATAGTGGACAGTGAAATCTGGGGTTCTCAGATGTTTCATTTGCAGTGTTAAGGTGCCCATACACTGTACGATTCTCGTACGAGAATCGCGGGAAATCCCCCGATCGTACTGTGTATGGAAGGCATGTAACCGTTTCTACTGTATGGTCACACGTCTTCCGTCGAACAAGCAGGCTTGAAAACCCACCGGGAATCGTACGATTCTCGGTGGGTTAGTGGCCTGCTTGTTCGACAACGGCCGAAGGGGCGGGCTTTCGCTGATCGCAAGTACAATCTGCCTGTCCAGGATGGGCAGATCGTATGAGCTTTTAATAAGCTTACGACCATCGCAAGACAAGTCTTGGGATGGTCGTAAGGTGTATGGGCACCTTAACACTGCATTCTGAATCCAGAAACATCTGCTCAGCCAGTCCGCTGTTTAGAAAAATCAAAAGCAAACATCTGACTGGCCATCATGTTTGCCCTCTGAAACATTTTTCAATTCAGCTGGCCACGCCATTTTTCCCATTGATTTGATTTTCAACTGCTGCGTTGCTAAAAGACCCCCCCAAACCATATATTTTCTGAAAGAGCAGGCCTGGTAGAATAAAAAGATGGTGGTACTAAATTTGTAGGCCATGCGATAATTGCGCAAATGTTTCTCAAATTAATATTAAACCGATAAAAACACACTAAAATCAGTGTCCGTGCACAAAAAATTATTTTCTGACTAAATCTAAAAGATAAAACTGTATTGAGTTAAATAACAAATATTTGCAAATTTGTAATTGCGCCTTTTTGCAAAAAGGTAAAAAAAATGAAGGTATGCAAAACTGTAAATAAGCGACTTATGTTAAAAATAGTTTTTACGCTGTGTTGGTGTTTGTGTTGTGATAAAATGATACAGGCGTATACACACAAAGATCACAACGCATGGCAATCAGACGATCACTCCGGTGTTTGCTCTGCACAGAGGGATTGTTAAATATCAATTATATTTATTGATCCCCCGCCCCGCTCCAGAGCCGCTGTCATCCGAAAACTCACAGGATGACAGCGGCTCCGATCAGAACACCGCTCGGCCATCCTGGATTGCGGCCAGCCGCCGTTTGCCCCTCCGCTGGGCAATTTTCATCGGATCCCCGCTGCCACAGACCCTACAAGTGGGGGACAGCAGCGGGGATCAGGATCAGCATGGAGCATCTTCAGGCAGGGATGAGAGACTCCAGGTGCCGGCGGGGGCGCCCGGTATTTTCGTTAATAGCGGTCATCAGCAGCTCACAAGCCGGTGATGACAGCTATTAATTTGAAGGGGACAGTCCGAGGAATAGTTCTAGTATAAGCTTATAGCAGAACTGTAAATGCCAGGTCCGTACGGCATACGTACATTGGCCAGCCGGGAACACTTTTGTTCCTCCGTATGCCCTACGTCCTTGGCAGGGAAAGGGTTAAGGGAGGAGTGTCTCTACTACAAGTAGTGACAGAAGCAGTGGTTTCAAGCAGACAGGTAAACTAAATTGGCAAAATATATATTTAGTATTTGCCATTATGCTCAAATTGTGCATAGTCAATTGACTGGATCAGTGTTGCTTTCCATAACCTGGACTTTTAATACAAAAATACACAGGAAGAGAAAAAAAAAAAAAAAAAAAAAAAAAAGAAGGAATAAGGGGTCCTGCTTCACCCCCTGCCCCTCACCTTTCACAAGTGCAGCACTCACACAACTCATTCTTCTCTCCGAAAAAACTGTCACCGTAGAAGCAGGTGATTTCTTCTTCTGGCTTAATGTCCCTGAGAACTTTCACACAAGCCGTATTTCCTTCTGTAGGAACAAACTGAAAACACAGCAGAGGAAATTTGGTAAATTTAAAAAACAGAACAAGAATGAAAAGATACAGAGCAATTTCAGTTACCATTACAGCAATTAAAATACAGGAAAGGCATGTAAACAATTTTAAAAAAAGCCAAATCGGATACTTTAAAATGTGCACTCTTCATCTCATAGTCATTTTTCTATAAGAGCAGTACTAAAATCAAACTTGGATTGATTTCTTAACGGGGTCACCCCCTCTCCCTTCCAGTTCTAATGAATGAGTATGAAGTAAAAAAAAGAGACTATGGTGGAATTACTAATTTAACCCATTCACAACTGCTGTTTGTTAG